GGTTGCTCTGTCTTTATGTTTTGTGAAGGATCTGGCTGCAATGTGACTCAGAGGTCAGTGCATGGAAACTGTTAGCTCCTTTAGAGCAAAGTAATTTTGGCAAGAGATAAGAAATAAGGTAGTGGTTGGAGGAGGGCATTAGAAGTAGGGTGACTAAGTTTTGTTTCTCTGGCCTTACCTTTGGTCAGACCATAATTTCTGAAATTGTGTAGTTTAAAGTCAAAAAGAAGTATGCATGCCTTCAACTCTGAAAATCAATTCATTTAGATGTCTGTCTGTAGATTTAGATATCCAAAGCATCCTACTGTAAAATATTTGTATTTACCTCCCTAATATGTTTTGTTCATCACTGAGGGAAGGTGTGTAAGTATAGAATAGCATCTAGTCATTTCAGGTTTCCTTTTAAGATTATGTAATAGAAAGCAGCCACAGGGACATAATCCATGGGAAAGCTGGACCCACACTGTCTTGTGCTAACTTGTTATTTTCTAGTACTTGATTCTGCAGATGCTTAACTGAAGGCTTGCTTTCCACTCTGCCCCTAAGACAATATTCCCACTACCAGAGCACTTTATGTTCCTATTGTACGCCTCGCTTTCATTTGGTAAGTATTTACAAGTATGAACATCAGCCTGAATCCCCGTTCTGTGTTTCAGATGTTTGTCATTGAAGTAAAGGTTAAAGGTGGTGGCAGATACCTGATTTTCCGACGCTATCGTCAGTTCTATGCCCTGCACGCCAAACTAGAGGAGAGATACGGGGCAGAGAGCAAAAATAGCCCTTTTACCTGCACACTCCCCATATTGCCAGGTAAACTGTCAGTACCAAATCTCTGCATGACGAGCGGCTTTCTCAGCCCCAGACTGTCCTAAAGTGGAGTACATTGTTGGGAAGTAGTTGTGACAAGGAACTAGTTCTCACCTGTGGATGCTGGAGAAGTCAAGTTCCATTGGCAGTACCTCCACTTGTGGTAAAGTTCATTTAGAAACCTGAAATCCTGAAAATATGTATTTTCTTGGAGATCCTACTTTCTCCTGATTGCTTAATTTCTCTGACAGCCCCATTTTTTTTCTTCAGTAACTGCACAGGTTTTCTATTTTCCAGGAAAAGTTTATGTTGGGGCCAAAAAAGAAATTGCTGAGAACAGGATTCCTATCCTAAATGTCTACATGAAGGTAAAACTTAATTTTAAGGTAGAGATTGCACTGAGCACTGCAGATACTTACCCCTTGAAATCAACTAAGAGAGACAGCACTGTTGTAGTCCTATCTGCTTCTCTCTGTATTGTTTTTCCTGAAGACACAGTGTCCACACTGTGGGACAATCTGCAGTCCTGTTCCTGAGGTTGTTCAGACTGTAGTATCTGCTGGAGCATGCAGTTCACAAAGGCTCACTCCCTGCCTCTGTATGTAGGTAGATACCCTTACACACTCTGCCCCCCTGCCCCCGCCAAGATGTATGAGGAAATGGTGAATCTCCAGGTGTTGCATGAATATGGAGTTGGTATGTGCACCTAAGGGACTCGGAGAGTGGGGTGTGTTTCTGGGTGTACCTGCTCTACAGTGAAGACACAGCCAGTAACATCAAGGAGAGAAATTCTTTGTGTGCAGGTTAACTGCAGACCTGACTGTAAATCAGTAAAAGTCTGAAGCACTGGCCAAGACTTCCAGGACTTAGGATTGCCTTCTTTCCACAGTCATTCATGTTCTGAAGGGAAACACAAAGAGCAATTTACTCCTTCTGCAGTAAATCAGGCCCCAAAAGAGTGAAACAATACATTGGCCAACTCCAGCAGTAAACAGGAGAAACTGTCAGCTGTTCAGTCATGTCCTGCTGAGTGAGAAGGGAGAGGAGGGAGATTTTGGCAGTAACAAATATCCTTCATGATCCTGTAGGTTAGAGAGGCATATTTATTACATGTGAATAAATAGAGAATTGGTCCCTCCCACTGTTACACTCTGCTTCCTACTTGCTCTTGGCTCAGAACCTACTCTGCCTACCTGTTTGGGTGTTGATGGATGAAGAGGTACGGCTGTTCTTCTACCACTCAGACTTTGATAGTGAACAGGTGCCTCACAGACTGAGAAGGCTTCGCCCACGGACACGCCGAGTGTAAGTGATTGACATGTTTTTTCAGCATTGCTTGATGTAAGAGATGCTGTCCAGTTTTGGGGGGAGAGAGAGAGATGAGGATCACCACTGTGTTTCCCCAAATGAATCCATGAAGTCCTAATATGAGGATCTTTGTGGTAGAGTGAGCACAGGCTATTTCTTGTATTCAGTAATCTCAAAGTTTTAAAGTGGATGTGGCACTTGCATTAAAGGAAAATTCCAAAATGAGAGTATAGCTTGCTTTTAAAAACAGCGTTGCTCAGCTCTATCCATTGCTAATTTTTTAATGGTAATACCTATTATAATGTGCAGAATATACAGGCCAAGGTTAAGGACATCGGCTTACACCACTGAAGTCAATGTGAGTTTTGACGCCGAATTCAGTGAGATCTGGTTCAGACACTAAATGAAACTGAATACTTAATTTGTTCCTGTCCTTTGTCTAAACAGGGGCCTGTCTGACATAGCAGCATTGACACCCCTTTGCAGAACTGCTAAGTAGATGTCATACTTCATTACCTTTCAGGCAAATTAATTCTCCTTTCACCATAGCAAAGATGGACCCGCTTCCTTTTCACTTACCTGAAACAGCGCAAAACCTGCATGTGTGTATGCATTCCTGGATGTGTTTATGATGGCAGAGTTTGAACTGAATGCCATAAATGCTAGAAACAGGGATGCCCAGAAGACAGAGTAGGGGGGCTGAGCAGTGCTGTGGAAGAGAGGTCTAGGATACTGACTGTATTGAAAATTCCATCTGTTCTCAGCAGCAGACATCGTCAGATTGCTGCTGCTCTGCCCTGAAACTAAGAGAACTAGGGCAATGTTGTTGCATCCCTATTTATCTACTTCAGTGCTGCACACAGATTCTCATGCAGTTTCTCCATTGATCTATGGCTTGCCTGCCTCTTAAATAATGAATATGCAGACACTGTACTACTGATCATTTAGTATTTTTGATGACTGGAGAGACACATTTACCTCCCTGTTGTCTCCTTTCTTTGCAGTAAAAGCATTTCACCTCAAGTGCCTATTTTTGACCGTGTGGCAGCTCCACGGGCTGAGGTGAGTACTCTGCACAATCTGTCACAGGATAGGAGATTAAACTCAGTTTTACTTCGGTATCTCATCAATCAAGCTGCCTTTTCCAATTAGAGCTTGGGGAAAGAAGGGAAAGTGAAATCAACACAGGAAAGCAATTGATTTTAACAACAGGGAATGAAACAAAGGATGGCAAGAAGTGTTCCATTCCTCCTTACTTGAGTAATAAGAAGGCCTGTTTTGAAGTCAGAATGACAGGAATCATAGAATCGTTTAGGTTGGGAAAGACTTTAAGATCATCCAGTCCAACCATTAACCTACACTACCAAGTCCACTCTAAACCAATCAAGGGTAGACTAGACTAAACCATGTCCCGAAGTGCCACATCTACCCGTTTTTTGAACACTTAAGGAGGTTCAAAATTGAGAGACGTGTACAGCTTACTGCCAAATGGTCCACATTTACATAGTGCTACCCACAAATTAAATTTAAAACAAGCACAAGCTTCAGTCTCATTGACTTCAGCATATGTTTAAAAGCTTTGCAGGTGAGGCATCTTAGTATTTTCTGTAACATAAGTGTTCTACGGAAAAGTGCCTATGCTGTACTTCGCTGTGTATTGTCTTGGCATTAAGCCCATGGAACTGCTTTGTAACCAGTACTTGTCTGAGCATGGTCTTGCTTCCTGGAACATGTGACTTTACCATGTAATATTAAAAAAAAAACCAACCATGCAAGTGCTTTGAGGTTTGTTGGTTTTGTTTTTTACACTGAGTATGGCAGATCTTGGATCAGTCACAACTCTTGGGTTTTATCTATTAATTTATTAATATTGAAATACCTACCAAAACTTTTCAATAGATGAAAAAAGGCTTTTGAAAGAGCTATTAAGTAGACATATAAAATACTAGCACAACAGCAGCCATTGTCTTTTTTTTATTAGGAGAACTCTTGGCATTAACAAGACCAAAATAACCATCTTAACACAGAATTAAGAACACCTTTTCATTTTTGCTCCTCTAAGAGCATTTAAAAGGCTACCATGTTCTCTAAGGACAATGGGGCAGATGTGCATTTTTGATAACTTGGCCACTTTAATTATTGAAGAACAGCTTGTTAGGGTGGTAGCATGTGTTTGCCTCCTTTTTTTTTTTTTTTTGTTCCTCTGAAGGGGGGATCTCAGTTCCATTTTAACTACATGTCAATTTCCCAAACTTCCCCAAATCTCTCAGTTCAGTATAGAGGCCTGAAAGCTAGACGTAAAAAAACCAGTTAGTTACCCTTAAATTAGGACACAACACTTCTGCAATTTTTTAAGGCTCTTTGTGATATTTTGCAGCAAATCTGAAAACTGTAAAACTGCAACCACAAATAATTTATATTTTTTCAGTTCTCTGGATTTAAAGTTTTCAAGTTGTCAAGTATCTTCAGCTCTGTTGACTTACTCGCTCTTAAATGTTTTCAACTTCTTTATATTTATTTCTCTGGTGGTCAGGGTCCTGTCACTTTAAGAATCCTAGCACGTAGCCCTCTTAATACCATGTTTATCCTAGTGTTTTCACTACTTCTTCAAAGCATTTTTGTGTGTGCTGAGTAGGAGAAGAAATTGTGAGAACTGCAGACTACAGTCATATATATGACCTTACCCCAGAAATACATCTGTGATGACACAGTGCATACTATAATTTTGCTTTATGCTCTCCCCCCAAGAACAGAAGGACTCACTTTTGTAATTCTGTGAATTAACAATTTCAGTGTTATTACTTTCCATAGGCACTGTTTGATTTTTCTGGAACCAATAAACTGGAGCTCAGCTTCAAGAAGGGAGACTTGATCTATCTACTCAGCAGAGTAAACAAAGACTGGTTGGAGGTAAGACTGCAATAGCAGTACTGAATTATTAGCATACCTTGAAATATATGAGTAGAAAGGGCTCTCCTAGTCCTTGGGACCTGTCTTCTCCTTTCAAGGAGAAACTGTGTCATCATCAGGTCTTACTGTCAAGAATAAATCCTTGACTCCAAATTTGAAATTGTTTCCTTCCTTGATGATTTTTAGTTTACAAATTTTCTGCCCTCTAGACTTCAGTTTTCATTTGCATTTGCTTCTGCTGGGATGTTTTTAAATTCTTTGGAAGTGATTAGAACACAAAAAGGCCACAGAAAGGAGATGGAAACTCCATTTCAGTGATTAATTTGTTTCTTGCCTCAGGGTGAGTTGCTATATATTTCGTGCTTCATACCACAATACGTCAGCCTGATTAGAAAGAACTTCGGCAATGCAGCAGTGTTCTGAAAAAGGATAAGGAGAACATACTGTGTGTTTGCTGATAATGATATCTGTGCTTGCACAAACACCACAGCCTTCCTTGGTAACCATCTGACTTTCCTTTTTACACACTGTTTCACTCCCCTGCCTTGTATTTGACTACGCAATTGTATAATCTTTTTGTAGGGATGCCATCAGGTCACTTAAATAGCCTTTTTTTTTCTTGATTATAGTAGAAAAATACTTACTGTTGTTTCCATGGAAAATAAGTGAATTCCAGAATTTATTGTATGTGGCCAAAGTGGCATGTTTTTCTTCATTCTAACAATTCCTGTCATTCCAGGGAACAGCTAATGATGTCACTGGGATTTTCCCATGTGCTTTTGTGAAGATCATAAAAGATTTACCACAGCAGGAAGACACAGTTAATAAAGTTCGCTGTTATTACTATGATAAGACTGTGAGCACTATCAGGTAATAAGAAAATAGTCTTCCGGTTTACTGCTGAAGAAATGCCAACAATTCTCTTTTCATCATATTTAATGATTAGATTTGTTCTTGTTACAGGGATATCTCAGTGGAAGAGGATCTGAACAGCATTCCATCATTCAAAGATCTCATGGAATTGATGAGGTACAATGCAAGCAGTTAGTTGTATGTTTAATATCATTTAAATATTTGTCAAGTTCCTTCCAGTACTAGACTTTCCACATCCTTCTTGGTCATCACCATGTTTTGGGTGTGAAATACTTCTCATGTGTCCTGAAGAAGTTGTATTTTGACTTGGCCCAACACCATCTGTGCAGACACTAGTCTGCCTTGGGATTGTCACTAAATATGGAATGCCACACACTTCTAACTCAATTATGCTGGGTAGAAGTTTCCATTTCTTGTTCTAAGATCAGAGCCATACCCCCATGCAAGGATCTTTTGTCTAATATACTTCTTCAGGATGCAGGCCACCACCTTCTAACACCTGTTAAATTAGCGTTAAACTAGATTAATCTAATGTTGAACATCAACAAATTATGAGATCAAATATTAGTATAGAACACCTGTGCTAATATTCTTACACTCCTTAACCTGCCCTCCCTTCAGAAAAAGCAACCATAAGTAGGCAAAAGTGGGTAGTAACTACAGTCAGCTCTTATGTATGGGAATTTTTTCAAATGCACAGATGAATTGTGCCATGGATGTGGTGTTAGTGGAAATGGTTCTTGATTCTGGCAGATTTCTTAGCTTAAACACAGGACAGCATGAATGTGGCTGTATGATTTCTCATACTAGCTGTATCAAGCATGCCAAGGCACCCAAGGCGTTGTGTGGCTTTTAGCAGAATGAATTAGATTGCCAGTAGAATGTTCATCACACAGCACCTCTCAGTCATTCCTTGATTTCTGGGGATCAATCCATTTCTTTTCTACCAGGCGGGAGTTTGACCAAGATGACATTGTTTTGAATTACCGGGACCTTGATGGTGATCTGATCCGGTTGCTCTCCGATCAGGATGTTGAGCTTATGGTGTCTCAGAGCAGGAGAAGGCCCTCTGAGAAGCATTTCTTTCCTTGGAAGTTGCACATCACTCACAAAGATGACTTGGATGTCTACAACACTAGTCCAGGAATAGGTGCTACTCAAACAGTAAGAGCAACATAAGTGCTATGTAGACATGTTCCAGTAGGTAGCTATACAGTCCTTCCATAATTCCTCTCTGCAGGCAGTTCTCTTTAACTAGCCTTTGAAGAGAGCTTGAAAAGAGTAATTTTTAGTAATATATTACCTTTCAGTGTGAAATCTCTAGTTAGTTAGCTTCTTCAGCTTTTTAGCACTCCTCTGTAATAGAGACATCTACACAGACACCAGAGAAAGTGAGGAATAGAGAAATAAAATCACTGGCCTAGCACACCTGTGGTGTTCCTCATAGACCTTTTTGTAATTGCACAGGCTACTTATTTCCACATTCTGGGAGGATTTGTGTGATGCCTATTCAAATAGCAATTTCTTCTCTGTCTATCTCCTGCTTTTTGACACCTCATTGCAAAGTAGAACTAACAACAAATTACTGTATCAGATTCCTCAAGAAATAAAGTTACATATGAGTTTATTTTATCAGTTTCTATTCAAAAGGGTTTTGGGGGGGGGCACGAAATAATTCTGCTCTTTTTTTTTTTTTTTTCCTTGAAAGTGAAATAATTTTGAAGAAGAGTTTGAATGTTACCTATTCAGGTTTCCTTAAGGAGGAGTTCATTATTGAAAAAAAATATATTTTGCAATAATTTTTTTAATGGTCATGCAATTAAAATGTTTTCTTCTTGAACAAATTTACTGCTGCTTGTAAGAATTACAAGTTATATATGTTTTACATAAATTGTTTGATACCTACAATACTGTATTTTAAAACCACCATGCAGTCATAGTGTTAAAAAGATACCACCGAGTATAAATATAATCAGTAAAAAATAAGAAGTTAAAAGAGTTTTCAAACACGGTGCTTTGGATTCAACTGTTAGTCTCTGAGGCATTAAGCTCCAGTTCCTCACTTTGAAAAATCTTTGTCCTTGACTTGCTGCTAAAATTTGTACAGACAAAAGGGAAGATTAACAAGTATCTGAAGGTACTAAGAACCAGTTAACTAATGATGCATGAATAACTAAACTGCCCCTCCCCAAACTGGCAAAGTAAGTTTTCTCTTTTCCTTAGATGTTACCTGTAATGCTCTCAGGTAACAAGATCTCCAACAGCAACAAAAGTATTTAAGGTTACTTATCCTTTAAACTTGCTTTTTGTTCTTCCTGATGTATACACATAAACTTATTTATATTCATAAGCTTTACTATTCTGTTATCCGTAGCCCTGCATTTATGCATGTAAGTGTATTGGAAACAAAGGAAAGAGTTTATATTTAAAGATAAGCATATCGTTTGCTATATTGGGATCCATAAATAATTTCTTACTTGATACTTAACAATTAAGTGCATAGTTCTAGCAGTATACCAACCCTGTACAGACTTGTGTAAGAAAATGCACTCTCCAAAGAGCTGTAAGATGTGCTACCAGCCATATCTGCTTTCCAGGTAGAAAGGTTCCACCTGAAGAATCCATGCATATTAGATTTCAGAGGTAGATAACATATATTCAGAAGAGCCACAGGTTATGTCTTCCTTTTTCTAATGATGGAAGGTTTTAGTTGACATTATTTTACTAAAATGTTACAAAATGTAACTTCCCATTTCAGAGGCATTGTAGCAATGTGGTTTAGGAAGGAGATGAAGCAATATGCAATGATAATGTTAGTAATCTTACACCTTGTGATACATAAAAGAACGCATTGTAAGTTTGAAATCTAGTTGCCATGCGTGGCCTGCAAAGCTTCTGGTGTGCAGGATTACCTGTTACCTGTTCCTGGAGTTCAACAGAGCAAGTAACATCTGAAGATTTTCACTGACAGCTAGATTCTGTGGTGTGACCAGCAACTCAGCAAGTCTGTCTGAAGATGGAGGAGCTGTTTGAGTGAGGAAGGAAAGGGAGGGAAAATATCTGCTGGGAAAGAAGCAACTTCTTTTCTAAAGGTGGGGGAAGAACATGCATAAACTTACTGGCCTGTGAAAATCAGAGCAGGAGAATTCCTTTCTACCTTTATACTGTAACGCAAAGTAAATCCTGCCCATCCAGCAAAGTCACATATTCCCCTCCTTGTCTGCAGGTTTTGTGTGCACACTGCCTGATAGTCCCAATGACACACAATTTCCTCAGAGACTCTCCTATTCTCCTTCCTGCTCTGCATGTTTCCCTTATTCACAGAATACATTTTTTCCTTATATATTGACGTAATAGTTCTTGTGAGAGCCTAGCTGTGCTATCTATGGTTTTGGTCAGTGCTATAGGGATTCAGAGAATGTGTACTAGCAGTGCAGGACAGACAGACTCTGGCAGTTATATTCGGTATCTGGGGTCTTGTCTTAGTCCCCCGTAGTTTACCCCTGAGAGTGCAAACCTGAGTGTGTCTTTCCCTTATGGCTACCTAACTTTCCTATAGATCTTATTATTGAAGGCTACTGGGCTAAGTTTAAAAGCTGGATTTAAAACAGTGTGCCTGCCTTGGATGTAGGATAACTTCAGATCAACTCTTCTCGCCAGTTTTGTTTTGTTTCCTCTATGTGCTATAATACTTATAATTTATTATTAATTGCTGTTGAAATTGGTAAAACTTACTTTTAAAAATATTACTCAAATTAAAGGTTACAGAGGTAAGGGCAGTTCTCTCTCCCTGTGGCCCCCAATATATATATGTACAAATAAACATAAAGTACAGAATGATCGCTGCCTTGAAGATTGTCCAGCCTAGAGTAAAGCAAGAACCAGCACTGGAGTAAAAACCAGAGAATTCTTTCTTAGTCTTTCTCACCTCTGCCTCATTTAATCCTCTTTTTCTGAAAATACATTAGTCCCACGATCTGGTAATTGTTAACATGCTGATTGACGATGAGAAACTTCCTTCCCCTCCCTTCCCAGTTAAACAGTCCCATCTAAGTGCGTGCTTTGGGGGCTAGAATAGGAAGTACAGACTTCCTATTTTACAGGCAATTACACAGACCTTCCTTGAAAGGGTGTGGTCTGCTGCTTTGAAAGTGGCATTTAAGGTGCATAGAAGATATAGCAGTTATTTTGAAGACTTACTCGGCAAGACAATCCTGTGGTCAGTCTATACCTTTTGTCTCCACTTCTGGGGAAGTGTGGTTTTGCTGGTTTCTGCATCAGAGGATTCTGATAGTGTGGGGGGAGGCTGGACAGGGAGAGTCACCCGTCGGGTTGAATCATCTGCCTCACAGACAGCTCTGGATCCAGGTAAGGGAACTGCTTCTTCTCTGGGGAAAGAAAAATGGCAGAGAGTCTGCTCTCATACAAGGGCTTGTGAGGCAGTAAGGGATTCCTCAGCTGTAATGATTATTCAAGGGCTCAGCCAGCTCTTTCTGGTGTAAGGAAGTGGCATTCAGGAATCTGAAAGTCAATAGGAATTT